TTTTTAAATAATAATAAAAAAGTTATATCATTTTATTTAAATCTAGAAGTTGAATTTTAAATATTTGTGTTTTTAATAAATCTTAAAATTTGTTCCCTCGCGTCCGAGAGTTTGCTACACTTTTTCCAAATTCACCGACAGAATAAATCTTAAAATTTGTTCCCTCGCGTCCGAGAGTTTGCTACACTTTTTCCAAATTCACCGACAGTTCGCACGTGCCAGCAAGGAATCCAAACTGTCATGCGCTGTATAATACTAATAATAATTTTATTTTATTTTTTTTTTTATCAAATTCAGTTAAATAATAATAATAATAATTATTATTATTATATGCAATTATTGCAAGGGCTTGATATGAAAATTATAAACATGAAGCTTTTAATTATTCTATGAACAATATGCTTCTCGTTTTCAAGAGTAGAAACTCGAGTGACTAGTTGGCTACCTAGCTGTTAAGATAGGTGCTGATAGAGTATCATCAGAGAAGTCGAACACGGCGTCGTCGCTCTTGCTCAGTGCATAAACCACCTCCACCATGCTCGGCCTCTTCGTCGGGTCCTTTTGCAAGCAACTAACAGCCACATTCATTACATCCATCACGCTCTCCATCGGGCACGATTGCTCGAAAAGAGCTTCATCAATCCAATTCTTCAACCGGTCTAACTTCTCCTTCTCTTTCCCTTCCGAAAACCCACTCGCTCGCATCCATAGAACCCTTCCTTCCTCGTCAATGGCCTCCTTACCAGAGACGAGCTCAAGCAAAACAACTCCAAACGCAAAGATGTCCATCTTTGTCGACACGACTCCATCCGCTATGTATTCAGGTGCTATATAGCCTTGAGTTCCAACAATGTGCATGGTTATAGCATTGCATCCTGACTTCGCAAGTCCAAAGTTGGCTATCTTAGCCCTCATGCTTGCATCCAACAAAATGTTGCTACTTTTGATGTCTTTGTGGACAACTCGTGGCCTCGTGTGCTCGTGAACATAGAGTAGTCCATTAGCAACATCAATCGCAATCCTCAATCTCCTTCTCCAATTCAACTTTCGCTTTTGGCTTCCATGTAGCCATGAATGTAGAGAACCGTTCTCTACATATTCATAAATTAAGTAGCAGGTTGTATCATCAGGGTCTACGCAAAAGCCTTCAAGCTTCACTAGATTACCATGGTTCACCTTCAAATCAAATCAAACATATGTAATAAGAAAAGGAAATGCCCGTATATATATATTTATATTTATTGAAGCAGTGTCAACTAGAAAATGAAAGCACTCAAGGCTATTTTCGTCTTTTCCATTGTCCTATTCCGTACCGACTTTCAATATTTTAATGAAAAAAACTTTTGAAAAAAGCTCCTATGGTTCTTCCTTTCACATTCAAGGGGTGATTAGTCCAAAGTTAGGTTACTATTTTTTACATTTTTTTTAATAATTTAAAAATACTATCTTTAAACTTCAAAAAAAATTATTAATACCTCACACTTTTAAAAAATTAAAAATTAAAAAAATAATTTACAAATAGCAACTAATATAAAAATTTGGAAATAATCAAAACTTTTCATCCCTAAAAAAATTTATTTTTTAATAATCATTCAATTATGGACTATGTAAATTCCCATTTTTAACCTTCAACTTATACACTTTTCAAACCATGAGTTAATTCGTATACAAGTGGTTTATCTTAATAATAATAAATAAATAAATAAATAAATAACCCCACTAGCCTCCAAATTTTCATTAAAGAAATTTAATGCAAATCATAAATTTGAGTTATAATATCAAAAATAGTATTCGGAAATTCTAAATATATTAAAGGAAAAAAAAATGTTACCTTCTGCAAGATCTTGAGCTGTTCATAGGCGTTCCACTTCATCTTCTTGATAGCAAACTCAACTCCATTGATACTCCCTTTGTAAACCGATCCCTGAATCAAGCTCCTCTCATGAAACCCATTTGTTGCTTCATTCAGCTCCTCGATCTTAAACACTCTGTATTTATCCAAACAATCCGACACGTCCGCCATTAAATCCATCTCCATTTCTTTCCCCTTTCCCTTCCAAATCCCAACTTCCTGCAATTTCTGCCTCTCAATTCCCTCCTTCATTTCCCTCTCACTTCTCCGCCGCTTCCCCACTCCACATACCCACAAACCCACCATCAAAATCAGTAAAAACCCCGCAATCCCCATCCCAATCGCCAGCCCTGTTACTGCCCTGTTTTTTCCCTCTATTGCCGGAGCCGGCGGCTGCTCTGGCGGCGGTGGAAGAACAATGGGTTGCGTCAAATTCGGGAGACGACTTACCGGGATGAAGATTGTGTCGAACGCCTTCGGATTGGGGCGGTTCGCGGCGGTGATTTCCGATGTTGGTACTCCGAACCTTGAAGCAATGGAAAACAGAGTGTCCTGTGGGTGGATTACGTAAGAGACCATGAAATTGACGCGGTTTTTGAATTGGGTGGAGTTAGGGCACTTGCAGAAAATGGGGAAAACGACGTCGACGCCGATGGAGAGATTGGTGGGGACTAAAGTGGGGTTAACGACTTCGACGGATTGAAACGTGGTGAGATTCTGGAACTTGGAGGTGGAGACGAGCCAGAAGCTGTCGCCGGAGTTGATTTTGTAGGAGAGATTGGCGTACGAGATGCTGACAGAGGCGTTGACGGAGTTGCAGGAGCAGGTGATGGGGATGAAGAGGGGCTGGCCGGAGACGAGGGGGAAGGTGGCGTTGGAGTCGGAGATGTTACTGGGTCGAGAAATCTCGTGGCGGCTGACCCAGAAGAGGTCAGCGATAGTGGCTAAGTCGAGAAAATCGGGGGCGGTGGCTCGGTAGAAGACGTAGGCCTGGCATGGGGCGGTGGTCTGGTTGGCGGTGCAGGAGTAGCCATCGGCGTCGGGGGATTGGGCGGAGGAGGGAGGGAAGGGGAAGATGAAGAAGATGAAGAGCAGAAGAGAGCAGCCATGGCGGATTTGGGGTTCCATTGGTTAAGGTATTATTTTCTGTGTTTTTTATATTTTATTTATAGCGCACAACTGAACAGTCAGTGAGAGAGAAAAGGAAAACAAACAAACACGGAAGAAAAGAAGAATAGTCAAAGTACTAGTCAACCATTCAAATAATAGGTGGAAAATAATAATATTATATTTTATTTAAAATAACTTTTGTTTTTAAAAAACACAGAATGGAAGAGAAAAAAAATTCCAGAAAACATTTAAAATGTGAAATAAAACTTTTATTGACAATAGGTATTAAACTGAAATTTCAATCCATATTTTTTTAATTAATCTTATATTTACTAAAATTTAATTTTGTATCTAAAATTAAATTATATATCTTATATAACTCTAATCTCATGTATAGTAAATTTATAATTTTCACAAATAAATAAACATTTTAAAAAAAAATGAGAAACTTATTAAATAATAAAGGTTGTCAAATTTGAAAATATATTAATGAATTAATTTTAGTTTGAGTTAAACTAACATAAGTATGCATTCATTCATTTTTTTAATAGTACTTCTAATTAATTATCTAATCAAACCAATTATTTTATTATTAGCTAATTAATTTGTAACTACCTTGAATTAAGAAATCAATTAAAATTAATTAATAGTTTCATAGAATAAATACAAACTTGATTTATTTCCAACAATTAAATACAGCAATATTTTATTATGAGACATTATTCTCGAGCATATTCTATTTCTAATGTGTGAAACCTTAAACAAAACGGGCCATACGAGTACAGGTGTTAAAAAACTAGTCTGTACTAGTGAACTAATTGGTTCAATTTATGTTTTTTAAAACTAATCGATTGCTTTTGTCTTCGTTCATAACCTAAAAAACTCTTATATATAGCCCGTCGATTTCTACTAGCATCTAAATGACTTACTAACAAAATGGGTCCATCACGCACTCAAATACCGTGATCACCTAAGGGTTAGAGGGAGACACCAAACCAACACTGTCGTTGAGGAGGGAGATAAAGACAAACCTCAGAAACAACACATGGTCACGTAGAAGTACCATCGAGACAGAGAATGAGAAGGGTTGGTCGAAAGCGTCGACCATGACAGTTTCAAGAAGGAGAGAGAGTTCTAATTAAGTTGAGGTCACATCAACTCCGAGATCAAAACAATGAGTCGAAGACTCGTGAGAAAATACTATGGACCAGTCGAAGTTATTCACAAGATCAAAAAGGCATCGTATAGAATCCATTTGCTCCCATGGATGCGGACTAGCCCGCCCATGTCTAATACCCTTTAATATTTTTTTTTTTTATTTCAGCCCAATTACTAGACAAGCCTGCAAAATAGAGCAATGTTTGAACTTTTGGATGTAATGTAATTAAATTTGCAGGATGATTTCTAACCTTAAGAATTTGAAACTCTGGTTGGGACATTTTTATGCTTATTTTTTGTTCATATTTGCCTGTATCATCAAGTTCTCCTGAACAAGAAAGAAATGAGTGAGATTCAGATCAATGAACTATAAACTAACATAACCACAAAACTAGCATAGTTCTTTATCTCCATAGAGATTTACTTCAATACTTCAAATGAAAACATCATTCATTCAGAGCTGCACAGAACAAGAGAAATTTTCTTGCTATACGGTTGATAATAAGTTCATGTCATAATTACAATTTACATCCACTATATATATCTTTTCATAAAAATTTGGATAAGGAGTTCTCACTTACATTACATTACTGAGAAGCAGTCGACAATCATCTCTTTGTTATATCATCATTCTTCACAGTGAAATCCCACAAGTCTCCATACTTCTCATTGAATTCCCAGATGTCCATGGTGTTGTAATCTGATATCAACTTGTCACGAGCCCCACGCTCCATGTTATATATTTGAGGTTCAAAGTTGTGTGGTTGGTCTGGTTTGTCCATTTCAATTATGCAGAATACTATTGTAAACACAGCTGCTCCAATGTATATATACTCCCCCTGAAATACAGTCCCCATTAAGAACATAGCGTCCCCAGAAGTAGGGAAGAAAGATATCGATGGCGTTCGAAGATCTAATTCGAAATTACCGGAACATTGAAGTACATTGCAGCGGCAACTACTGGTAAGAAGAGCCACGAGATGAAGCCTGCCAAATATGTCAAATGTGAAGATACGAACCGAGTGTTGAAGTCAGAGGATTGAGTTGTTTAAGAGTGACAATGGTTTACCCTGAAAGCCTGTTGGAGGTCCAACTGCAGCAATATCATCTGCAATGGCTCCCCAGAATGTTCCTGAGAAGAACTTGCCAGTGAAAAGTAATCAGTACCAGAAGTTACCACCCAAATGATTTTGAAATATTCCTAGATTATAAACCCATGATCATTCCCTAAATGAGCCGATGTGGAATTTTTCTTTTCATCCAACACCTCCCCTCGAACAAAGTACGCCTCCTTTTTTTTTAGAGTCTTTGTCATTTTTTACTATGCCTTCGAAGAGCCTCCTTTTTTGGAATCTTTTGTTTAACATTTGAGGATTCTATTGACATGACTAAGTTTAGTGCATGGCTATGTATGGCTCTGATACCATGTTAGATGAACACGACTCTCCACAATAGTATGATATTGTCCACTTTGAGCATAAGCTCTTATGGATTTGCTTTGGACTTTCCCAAAAGGCCTCGTATCAATAGAGATAGTATTCCTAGATTATAAACCTATGATTATTCCCTAAATTAGCCGACGTGAGACTTTTCTTTTCATCCAACCATTCCTAACGAGGAATATCCATTGTACGAAAACTAGGTGGTTACTCCTTCAAAGAACAATCGAATAATTGATACTGCTTATAGAGGTACAAAATCTATAGCATAGCTACCGTCGACTTCTCAATTCGACCGGCTGAAAGTGAGTTCGGGATAACTTTTGAAGTTAGTACAGATCAAAACATTAGTTCTTCCTTGGTTTGAAGTGTTTTTAAAATTTTTAGAATCTTTTTCTAGCCATATAACCAAACATCGTGAGAAACTTTGAATTGTTTCAATGGTGGATTAAACACTTTTCACCATGCTAAAGGTGATTTGTTATACATTATGAGTGAGATTGATGATAAACAGTTTCATCTTGGCCAAATTATGATGGCAGTGAGAGATGGGAATCTTGATCCCATAACTCACGAAATTGATCTTTAAAGACTCACGGGAAAGCTAAATTCCAAGCTTGGGATTCTAATTCAGAACCGACAATTACAATTACATTTCTGTTTTTTCTTAACCACATTTTCATATAAACTGGAATTCAGACAACCAATTCACAGAGCCAAGGGCTCCATAAATCAAGAACCACCTCCAAATATTGAATCCAGATTCCAACCAGCCTAAACAGAAGACTTCATCCAAAGCAGAAACTAGATATGTTAATGACAATGAACGAACCTTTTTTCTCGCCCTCAAAGTAAGTGTGATGCCCATCGTACACTCCATACTCAAAATCTTCCTGAAACGAAACACAAAGTTGTTAAAAAATTGTGATGCCCATCGTACACTCCATACTCAAAATCTTCCTGAAACGAAACACAAAGTTGTTAAAAAATCAGCAAGATAAAAGAGGCACAATGACAGGACAGGAGAGCGATTCATACAGCGCTGACACTGTTAGTCTCCCAACGATCTACAGGATCTTCGTTTAAGTCGGGTTCAATCTCGGACAATCCAGCCGCATTTAGTCTCCCAACGATCTACAGGATCTTCGTTTAAGTCGGGTTCAATCTCGGACAATCCAGCCGCATTGAGACGCCGTAAGCGGCTTCCCCTCGCCGATTTTCCGAGCAACTTGGCGGCGGAGATTCCATTGATTCCTGGAATACTCCGATTCGAGAACGCTGGATTTTCCGAGCAACTTGGCGGCGGAGATTCCATTGATTCCTGGAATACTCCGATTCGAGAACGCTGTAGCACTAATTCCAGAAGATTTGAAGATGATTTTGGGGAGTGGATTGAAAGAAAGAACGGGGAGGGAAGAACAGAGCGCCATTTTCGGGCTTATCTTCTTTAGTTTCTGGGCTTTAAATCCCCGCCTTGAGGGAAGAACAGAGCGCCATTTTCGGGCTTATCTTCTTTAGTTTCTGGGCTTTAAATCCCCGCCTTTTGTTCCAACGATAAACTCCAAAACTCCAATAACGTAACTTCCAGTCCTACTTGGCAGAAGGACCAATGAAAACCTCGCCACGTAGACCAAAGTCTGCAGCTTACCCATGTGGCAATTACATGTAGGGGACCAATGAAAACCTCGCCACGTAGACCAAAGTCTGCAGCTTACCCATGTGGCAATTACATGTAGGTTGCACGTAAGATGGTCAACTTCCTCCACGTAAGCCTACATCTATTTATATACGAGATAGTCTAAGTCACTGCTAAGATTTTAAAATGCATCTATTATGGAATATTTGATTATTTTCTCCCACCAATATAAAATCTCACATAAACCCTCTAACTCTAAGCCGAATAAAAAACTTCAAAAGAATGCTATTTCAAACCATTTAATAAAATACCATAAATCAACGAAATTTCAATCCTACTCGACGTTTTAAAAAATTTAATTTCTAAAGGTCAAAAGAGTGCAAGGAAAGACTCATTATTATAAGACTATTTCATAATTAAAATTTTAAAATTATTTCTTTTGAGAATAATAATAATTATTAATTGTTAAATAAATTCACAGACATAAATGAAAATTAAACTAACATTTAACCTGGTTAAAATTATTTTGATATAATGACGTAATAAAAGAAAATCAATTAACAATAATTAATTATACTTAATTAAGGTAATAAATGTTTAAATAGCATTCTCATCACCAACATCAATAAAGCTTCTACGAAATATCCAACGAAAATTGGATGTTTGGTTGGAAAAGTAAAAGAAAAGAACAATAAATTGGTGGGTTATTAGTTGGGAGTTTTAGAGGAATTAATAATTGGGAAGAAAATTAAATGCTTTAGTTTTGGACACGCAAATATGTTATCGGATAAGTCTACGTGTTGGAGAAGTCAAACCCAGCAACCTTTGCGCCTTATGGGATTCCATACCTGCTCCACCTCCTCTTTCAAACGCCAACTTTGACCATCTTCATATTAATCAAATAAAAATAGTTATAAGGTTCCGATCAATCGTCCACGTCGTAAGTAAACTATATGGACACTCGAAAATAACTATGAACTAGCTAGTGTCGTACACGATTTCAAGTTGGTTGAGTTAGTAATTCGAACAACTTAAATAGAGTTCACAACCCAATCCTCTATTTTCAGTTGAGCCGTCACATGTTCACATGTTACCAATGTCAAAAATTCAACTCAACATTTATGATTTGAGCCCTGCGCATTTTTTAATTAGTTAAATTATTGAGTTATTATAAATTAAGGTGGGACCAGGAAAGTAGTGGGTAGAACATTATAAGAACAGCTTCAATTAAAATAAAAAGTTTGGAACACAATTCAATTCCATTCAATTCAGTCCCAACCAATCACTGTAAGATTATTTGTCTATGTATATGAAAAATGTTTTCGACCCTAATTTCAACCTTATAAATACTCTTAAAAAGAACATTTCGGTTTGTTCGCGCCAATTTTGTTTCATTGCCACAAAAGTTGTTATAGGAAGTCACTTCTCTCGACACTATAACCTACCACGAGGAGATGACTTCTCCTGACACTATATTATATATATCAGATAGAAATCATTATAATGTCACGTCGGTAGAGATGTCGATACATTATTTATTTGTCTCAACCCCTTGTGACGTCTTGTAGTGGGTAACTCTTTAATAGCAACATCTTTGATATGGATTAAGTAGTTGTATTAAAATTTATATCTATGTAAATATGATCTAAAATAAGAGTAGTCTATAGGTGGAGTCTGAATGTAAATGTCCGTAACTAAGACAAGTGGTAGAGTTGTCTATAGACAAAGAACTTATGCGGGTAGGTGTCGAATTAATTAGCCTCGAAAATGGCTATGAAAAAGCTCTTGGGCTACCGAGAAGCTTAATTCAAGCTAACTTCGTTATTGATTTTCTTTTTAAATTCATATTTATTTTTGGAATCTACCATTAAAAGGGTTCTCTAATATTTTATAATATGGATTGAAATTTTGATGACGTGTTTGAATGGATAAAAGAATATATTTTAATAATGAAAAATAAATTTAGTGGAAGAAAAAAAGTAAATAAAATAGAAAATTGAAATTACTTGAGAAATGAACAAATTAAATCTCGTGGGTTTGGCAACCCACTTGTACACCTCAATTCTCATGGTCAACGCGTAGTTTACCGGCGTACGGAACTGTATTGCCCATTAGTTTCTCGCCACGTCAGCTATATTATCCGACAAATTACGCACTTCATAGTAGCTCACCCAAAATTATCGGTTCAATATAAATTATAATTAATCTCCGCTAAATAATTTGAAAATTACGGCTTACTCAAAACAATTTTATTCCTACATTTCACATCATCATTATTATTAATTATTATTATTAGTCTAAATTAATAAAAATACTTTATTTTAAAATTTTTCAAAAAGTTTAATAATATTCTTACTAAAAAAATTAAAATACAAACTTTTTAAAATGTTATAAAATATTTTAATATTTTATTTCAAAAATTGGTTTAAAATTTTAAATAGTTTAAAAATACTCTTTAACCTTTTATTTATTTATTTTTTATTTTTTAACTAATATCCTTTTAACTCTTTTAAAACTTAAAAAATACATTTAATTTTTTTAAATAAAAAAAATTATTCGTAAAAGTATCATTAATACTCTTAAATTAAATGTTTATAGGTATTTTTAAAACATGGGTACGTGAAGGTTTTTTTAAAGCTTTTAAAAAATAAAAAATATTAATAAAATTTTGTAAAGTTAACTAAAAATTAAGAGTAAAAGTATAGGAATATTTTTATTAATAATAATAATTTAAGGTTAATATTATGAATATTATTAATATTATTTTATTGGACAGTCTTTTCCGGGTTGGCAAATTGAATGCCCCGCCTGGTTCACAATTAAAAGTTCGTTGGGGTAGTTGCATCCTCCCTCTCCCTTCACACTTCCCATCCCCTGCTTTTTAAAACCCCCTTCCCCTTCACCTTCTTCCCCCAACGCTCCCTTCATCTCCTCTGTTTCTTCTTCCTCCTGAAACAATGGCCGACCTCCCCAACTTCCTCTCCTCCGTCCGCCTCAAGTACGTCAAGCTCGGCTACCACTACCTCATCTCCAACGCCATGTACCTCCTCCTCCTCCCTCTCCTCGCAGCCGCCTCCGCCCATCTCTCCACCTTCCAGTTCCACCACTTCCTCCAGCTCTGGAACCAATTGAAATTCAACCTCCTCTCTGTTACACTCTGTTCTTCCCTCATCGTTTTCTTCTCTACCCTTTACGTAATGACCCGACCCAGAAAGATTTACCTCATGAATTTCTCCTGCTATAAACCGGAGACGGCTAGAATGTGCGACAGAGCCGCGTTTCTTGGAAGATCCGAGATGACTGGCAGCTTTACAGAGGACAATTTGGCGTTTCAGAAGAAGATTCTTGAGAGGTCTGGTTTGGGAGAGAAGACTTACTTGCCGGAGGCGGTGATGAGAGTCCCGCCTAATCCGTGTATGGCGGAGGCCAGAAAAGAGGCGGAGGCTGTCATGTTTGGCGCCATTGATGAGCTTTTGGGGAAGACAGGTGTTAAGGCAAAGGACATTGGGATTTTGGTGGTTAATTGCAGCTTGTTTAATCCCACGCCCTCCTTGTCGGCTATGATTGTGAATCATTATAAGCTTAGAGGCAATGTTTTGAGCTATAATCTTGGTGGGATGGGTTGCAGTGCTGGGCTTATCTCCATTGATCTTGCTAAACAGCTCTTGCAAGTTCACCCAAATTCATACGCCTTAGTGGTCAGCATGGAGAACATTACGCTTAATTGGTACTTCGGAAACGACCGATCAATGCTCGTTTCGAATTGCCTCTTCCGTATGGGCGGTGCCGCCATCCTCCTCTCAAACCGCCCTTCAGACCGCCGTCGCTCCAAGTATCAACTCATCCACACCGTCCGAACCCATAAAGGCTCCGATGACAAATGCTATAACTGCGTCTTCCAGCAAGAAGACGACACTGGCCGTGTCGGCGTCCGCCTCTCCAAAGACCTAATGGCGGTTGCCGGCGAAGCCCTGAAGACCAACATCACTACTCTTGGTCCACTCGTCCTCCCAATGTCGGAGCAGCTTCTCTTCTTTGCGACTCTCGTCGCTAAAAAGATTCTCAAAATGAAACGAATTAAGCCGTATATACCTGATTTTAAGCTCGCGTTCGAACATTTTTGCATCCATGCCGGCGGCCGCGCGGTGCTGGATGAACTGGAGAAGAATCTGGATCTGAGCGAGTGGCACATGGAGCCGTCGAGAATGACTCTAAATAGATTTGGGAACACGTCGAGCAGTTCTTTGTGGTACGAATTGGCTTACAGTGAGGCGAAAGGGCGGATCCGGAAAGGGGATCGGACATGGCAGATTGCGTTCGGGTCGGGTTTCAAGTGTAACAGTGCAGTATGGCGGGCGTTGAGGACCGTCGATCCGGCGAAGGAGAAGAATCCATGGATGGATGAGATTGATGAGTTCCCTGTTGATGTTCCCAGAGTGGCCGCCATTAATAGAGCTTGAAGAAGAAGATTCTTTGGAGATTCATTAGGGTTTTAACTCCAAATTTGTTTGGGTCCTTTTTTTTTTTTTTTTTTTTTTAAAAAATTTTAATAATGTTTTCTTTTTAAGTTGTGCGTTTATTTTGTGTGTCACACAACATATTGTTCATATTGGATGCTAATTAATTATTGTTTTTTTTTTAATTTTTATTTATAAAAGGTGTAATATTCATTCATACTACTCAATTAATGGACCCATTATTTTACTTTATACCTTTTAATTTTAATTTTTCACTTCTTTTAATTTCTTTTAACCGTAGTTGTTTTAATATTTTAGTCTGTTATATTTTAATAATTATTTTTTCAATAATTATATGAAAAATAATCGAATTAATAGTTGATGTCTAATATCTAAATCTAATATCTAAATCTAGTGATGAAAAGTCTATATTGGTTCCAAAATGGAAAGAAGTAGATAAATAGTATGTACCTTGAGTATGGTACGAAAATTTAATATCATTTAGATTGCGCACTTTTCACGTGCATTTGACCATTTTTAACTAACTTTCTTAATATATTTAACGATTTAACTTTAAATTTAATCCCTATAAAAAAAACCATTTTTAACTAACTTTCTTAATATATTTAACGATTTAACTTTAAATTTAATCCCTATAAAAAAAAATTAGAATTTAATCTTTATAGTTTTAGATGTAATTATGTTTGATAAAACTTTGGTAAACAGTCTTAGCCAGTTTATTTAAACACATAAATCCGGTCCACTTATAGTATAGCCATCTTGACCAGTAACTTCTTAGCCAGTTTATTTAAACACATAAATCCGGTCCACTTATAGTATAGCCATCTTGACCAGTAACTCGTCTTCGTATTAGAAGTATTAGAAGATCATCTCACCCTGTGGTCGACATTCCATTCCCCTTAGTCGTAGGTTCGGGTCTCTTGAGGCGAGGTACACGTGGCCAGCCCTTCTGGTGTCTCAGTGATATAAACAAAGAAAAAACGAATTCCAATCACATCCCCTATCACAATAAGCCAATCCAAGGAAATAGAATCGCATAATCTACCTAATTTTTGCCTTCCTGCCGACAATCAAGCTGTACTTTAAATATTTTAACAATTTAATCATATCGAATCACTAAAAAGTCTTGCAAAAGGGATAGACTCGTTCAAGGACGGGGACNACCATTTTTAACTAACTTTCTTAATATATTTAACGATTTAACTTTAAATTTAATCCCTATAAAAAAAAATTAGAATTTAATCTTTATAGTTTTAGATGTAATTATGTTTGATAAAACTTTGGTAAACAATCTTAGCCAGTTTATTTAAACACATAAATCCGGTCCACTTATAGTATAGCCATCTTGACCAGTAACTCGTCTTCGTATTAGAAGTATTAGAAGATCATCTCACCCTGTGGTCGACATTCCATTCCCCTTAGTCGTAGGTTCGGGTCTCTTGAGGCGAGGTACACGTGGCCAGCCCTTCTGGTGTCTCAGTGATATAAACAAAGAAAAAACGAATTCCAATCACATCCCCTATCACAATAAGCCAATCCAAGGAAATAGAATCGCATAATCTACCTAATTTTTGCCTTCCTGCCGACAATCAAGCTGTACTTTAAATATTTTAACAATTTAATCATATCGAATCACTAAAAAGTCTTGCAAAAGGGATAGACTCGTTCAAGGACGGGGACTTAAATATTTTAACATCATCCAATAAAACCCGCTAGATATTAAAAAAAAAAAAAAAAAAGTAATATTGGAAATAGAAGTAACTTACAAGAGATTATAAGTAAGCAGTAGAAATACAGAGTTGGAAGATACATAGCTTGAATTAGATGTATATGTAAGTTAGTAGACTGATGATATTTACATTTTACAGCAACGACATGGGTCGAGTCCTTTGCTTGAATCGGTAGCAGGTACTAGTCCAGCGATCTCGTCCTAGGCTCGAATCTAGCAGCTACTAGTCCAGTGATCTCCAGCCGAAGAATACAATTGGTTGTAGGATACTTCTGATCACATGCCCCATACTCCTTGAGCAGCAGCAACTTTATTGTTTGGTCTGGAAGTTAGCTCATACAATATCCTAGCGAATATATCTGAATATCTGCCATCTAAGAAGAGTATTTCTGCAAATGCATTTTCAAATGCTAGGAGCACACCCTTGTTCTGTGGCTCAGATACGAGACTCTCCAATATCATTGCTGCTTTCCTGCATATTTCCGGAACTGGATGAGGCATCTTGATTACTTTAAGAAGTCGATCGATCGCCCTAATTCGAAGTACAGGAAAAAGATGGCAATATACTTCAGTATCTACTACGTGTCAAGTGGCTTAGGAAAGAACTCGTTGTTGTTTTCGCAAGAGCGGTAAATGAAAAAGAATATAATTACCATCTTTCGCTTGCCAGCTTTAATCTGCAGTCCATATTAACTTCAACAAGGTTGGACAGTGCACCAACAGCTGCTGCTTGTGCATCTAATGCTGGGATGCTCATAAGGTCGACTAAACGCTTGTGTATCTAATAAGATTCAACAAAACGTTGCTATGATAAAGCAGGCATAATACGACAGAAAACCGGGAGGTTCATGGGTTTTAAAAGAAACAAACCTGGGGGATAAAGGGAAGAAGGAAAGGCTCATTGTCGGGATTTATTATCAATCGTCCGAGTAATTCTGCAGCAGAACAGTGCCAGACTTTGACAGAAGATCCAAGCATTCCCATGATGCCTTCCACTGCTCGTTTCTCTCTGGTAAAAAAGTATAAAGCAAGCTTATTAGAACTAATCATCAACTGGGTCGGCCTAAAATATAGATCGTATTCTCACGTTATTTTGATGTAGGATGGCTTTGATGAACTAAAGATACGAAGATCAAGGAGTGGGGATAAATTCACAATTGTCTCTAGTGCATTTGTAACAAGTTCATCATCCTCTGTCAACAATAAAAGCTTTCAGACATAATTCAGACAAACATATTCAAATTTGACACTTCAAATTTCAAACGCAACATTCAATACTAATGACATAAGATGTCTACAGGAAACTCTCAAAGCAATGCTCATTAGGGTCACGAACTTCTGACCTGTAACATGATCTTCTATACACTGAAACACTGTTTCCAGAGTATGTCGATGTTGAGCCATAATAGATTCATTCTCTGGCATGAAAGAAAAGTTTCGGATAATATTTGAAGCAGAAACAGCACATTGCTGTCTTTCTGCTCGGCCTTCGTCATCCAGACTAAATAGACCATCTTCATCAAGCCACCAATGTCGAGGAGATGATTTGGAAGTGTGAATCGTTACCTCTGAAGCTGAAGAACCAGGTCTCAGGCTGCCAGGCATAATTTACGCCATACTTAGAACTAATATTCAGTAAACTGAGCAAACATAACAAAATGACATTAGATGCATACCCATTTGAGCCCAATGCCTCATATTCATTCCCAAATCCCGTTACAGAAGAATTTACACCTAACGTTCTGATCCTTGCCTTCTTTACAAGATCCTTCGGAAGTGCTATATCACGCCAATCATCTATCTGTTTGATGTAACATCATGATATCATTAATCTCGGGATTTACTTGAACAATTTAAATCAGTCTTGCCAATTTCAAAATTCAATTTCATGAGCAAAATGGAACACTGTAGGACAATTAAACCTTCCCGAGGGAACCAAGATATCATATTTATTCATAGCAAAAGAAAACGCGAGAAAATGACTGAGAGGCAATGTAATACATACAACTTGAAGAAGAGCATCAAGCAAGCCGGGAATTTTTGCTAGAGGAGTAGAATCTCTGCGCATATCGTCCTTCTCTTTGAAGGAGAGAAGAGTTAGAGTGTTCAGTGCCCATGTCAATTCACTCTTCAAGCCACTCTGTAGCGCCAACACTATCTTTTTATTGTTTTGATCTGCTCTTGTAATGAATTTTAGAGATAAAAAAACAGGAACTCATATCAAATAAACGTCTCAATATAAAATAAGAACTCGAAAACTGAACTTTCAGCTGATTTCCAGTATAGAGTCCCGCAAATTAAGAGTGGAAATGAAAAAGGATTTCGATTAACAGACCGGCGAAGGAAGTATGAACATGGAAAGAAGGGCCAAGCAGTGCCGATGGAGCCAAGATCTCGACTGCAGCGGCGGCGTTGCTGTTTACGCTGCCGAATGGACGGCCTCGCTTAGCCGGAGGCGCCGAGACGCCGCCAACATTACCGCCCAACTTACTCTGCTCTCTCTTCTGCATGGCCTGGCTTCTTCTCCCTGAACTTCAAGTGATCTAGCAATGGCGACCCAATCGTGTAACAATCAGAAAGCTTGAAATCTAAATTAGGGCACAACGATGCAGAATGAATTCGATTATTCAACCACGAAGGGAAGCGACATGATTCTGATGGGCCTGGAAATATGGATCACGACAGCTACATAGGCCCAAACAATAAGCCCAATTCTCAAAATAATGACTTTGGAAGCCCAAATCAGGCCCAACTGCAATTTTACTTTTTGACTGAATTTTTAGTTTGAACCTTTTTAAATTTTTTGTTTTCCTTTTTGACTTTTAAATTTATAAATACTATTTTTTTTATATAGTTTTGCCCTAATATTTCAAAGTTATTCAAAGAAGTCAATAATATTGAATTGAATTGAAAAGGGATAATATAGTAATTTAAAAATATTCTTTTCCAAAAAATATTAGCTAAAATAATATTTATTTAACCTAGAAGGAATAATATTTTAAAATACACGTCATTGTTACGTTACTTTATTTGAAAAATAATGTATATTTTAATTATGTAACCAGACAAGTAGCCTTAGTTAGTGTCCTAATATCCTAGGTGGAAAAGAAAGTACAGTTTTTCAAATATTATATTCACATTAAATAAATGCAAAAACACATCAAAATCACAAAAATAAAATAAATAAAATAAATTATTTATAAATATTCCTATATTCTTTATAATAAAATTACAACGTTACCATTTACATTTTATAAATATTTAAAAAAAATCATATAATTTAGCAATTCAAGTATTGTCATAGGTCACATTTTATAAAATAAAAAAAATTAATGTATTTTTTTTTTTTGAATAATATGAAATTTTATTTTAAAAAACAATAAAAATTAAAAGGGGAAAAAAGTGAAGGTGGAGAAGGATGGGGGGGTGGGGACCACATGGGGACCAAGATGTGTTGAGAATTGAAAAGCGGAAACTCAAAGGGATAAACAACTTTGAATATAGACTTCGTTTGGGCCGACATGTCCAATCATCAACGGATAAGGCCGAAACTTTAAGGGCCCATCTCTATTATTGTATTATTTTTATTATTTATTTTAAGTGTTTTTTTTTTATTATTATTTTCAATACATGGATAATAATTTTAATAAATTAATTAAATACTCATCAATTTTCTCTTAATAAAATTATTAATTTAAAATAATAAATAATTAATACATGCAATTTGGTTGGAGCAATGAATTTTTTGGGATCATCAAATTTTGGAATATTTTTCAATATTGGGATTATGCCCATCAAAATTAAAATAAATAAATATAAAAAGTAAAGCCAGAAGCATATTCCAAGGAATAAATAATCCACAAACGAAAAAAAAAAGGTGAGAGTCCATTGTAATTAATATAAGGACACCTGCATCTTATCTTTCCCTATCTCGCCCTTCTTTTTTTTCCTCAAATCGTGTGGCTCAGAACAATAGTTCAAAATCAAGTTTTCACCTTCCCAAGCAACCTCCAAATTGTTTAAAAAAATAAAAATAAAATAAATAATAAAGGTAGGTGACAGGTTGCTTTCAACGGCCTACAATAATAATTATATTATTATTAATAAAGAAGTAAATTAAAAAAGAAAATAGAAAAATAGAAAAAAGAAAAGAACCCCACACCTTCTTTAAATAGTTATTGTCTTCTCAGCTCTCCAGTAACCGACCCTACCCACTCCCATCAAAAGTATAACATATAATTATATGACATTATTACCCTTCCTCTCCTTTTTCTCCTTATTTTATTTTATTTTATTTATTTCCAATTATTTGACTCCATGCTTTTTCACCCATCTTCTTCTGCACTTAAATAAATTAAATATTTTTCAATGATTTTGAATTTTTAATTCAAATTACAAGTGGCGGAAAAGGGCGAAACGGTCAAAAACGGATAAGTAAACAAGAGCTTAAACACGAGGACTGACGGAAACAGAATATCACGCCGTTCTAATGAGTTCATTTACCGTCACGCCCTTCGAGACTCCTTCAATTCTCTTTAACCCCCCCAATCTTTCTCTTTATTACGAAACTCCCCCTCTAAAAATTTCTTTATGCCCTTGAAAGATGTGAAAATTCTTTTCAAAATTTGCAGAAGCCCCCCTCCGTTTATCGATATTGTTCTTGTTTCACTCCAAGGAAACCACCCCAATCTCACCATACCTATTTCTTTATTTTAATAATAAATATTATTATTATTATCGTTTTAATTATTTTAATATAAAAGGATTGGAAATGATAGGAGAAATCTGAAGTATTATGAAAGTATTCAACGGAATATATATCATTTTTTTTTTATGTTCATATATAATTTATATATATTAAACCTGAAGGTTAAAAAAAATTAAAAGAAAAAAAGAAGAAAAAATCCAAAACTTTTTTTTTTTTTCTCAAGATTTCTCTGTGAGGAGGGAAGCTAATCCGGTGACTATCTTAGCTCCTTTATCTATGCTCTTTGGCTTGACTGCAGGGGGTTGCCACGGGGAAGCAGTCCCCGCCGGCGATTTTTTATCGCTGGAGATTGACGTCGACGACGGCGATACGGGATCGCCGGTGACGGATTCTCTCGGAGCTGATTCCTCGCCGAATATTAACTCGAATTCACCGCAATCGGTGTCGGTTACAAGCGGGTCGTTGTGGATTTGAGGTAAGATTACTTCGGGTTCGGTCTCTGGAGGAGAGTTGGTGACTGAATCGGCGGTTCTAATCGGAGAAGAGAGCCATTTCGCGAGCATGTACTCCGCCTTCCTCCACGGCGGGAAGTGCATTCCTTTCTTCTTCAAGCTCTGCCTTGCCGCTTCCGATACAATGGATACAATTTGTCCGAGACGATCCGATTTTCCGACGAAGACGTACGGCAGTGTCTGGAGGATCGCCTTGTATGTTCCAGTCGAACGGGCGATCTCGAATTCGGACTTGAAATCGATGTCTACAAGTAATCGTTCTCCGTCCACAATCACATCCATGTATTCGTATTCACCTAAAACAGAATCGAAAACGAATTTAAGAAATGAAAATTTGGGATTAATGTAACGGAATTAGGGTTCATAGAAAGTGTGTGTACCAGCTGGGAAAGAGGGGGATTTCTCCCATTTGGATTTGCAGATGGAGGAATTGTAACCGAGAGATGAGAGGCCATCAGTTACGATTCTTCGTAAATCGTCCTTCCTTTTATGAACTTTGTTGTGCTTCTCAACAATTTTCGAAGCGTCTGCCAAAAGGTTTCTCTCCGTAACGCTCGCGCAAGGAATTAAACTCTGTAACAAATTGTTGTTTGTCAAATACACTTGCGAAAGCTCGAATCCCAAAATTTGGAGTTACAGTTAAAAGAGGTAGGAAAATCCAGGTTTTCGAGTGAAGAATTTATGAATGTGAGGCGTTTACCTTGAGTATATCATATGCATCGCCACCGGATGATCCGGAGGTGATCGATTCACCGAAACCCCCAAATACATCGAATTCGTCGTCGGAACTGTCGTTGCTGTTGCCGTTGAAACAATTGCAGGGATTGCGGCCATACTTCACGGCCACCGGCTGCTTCTCGCTGCTCTCCTCTATGAAATTTTGCACCATTTTATCTAAGCAAACCGAGCTTGGCTCGAACTCAGTCCCTCTGCTAAACTGAGCCGGTTCCCCTACAATCGGTTTCTCTACCGTAGAACTCCTCAGAACGCTCGGAAATGGCCGATCGAAAAGTCGCCTGAGTCGCGATTTGAACAGAGGCTTGGCTGTGTCGGTCCGAACCTGCTCTCTCACCGTCCGAACATCGATATCGATCGGTTGGATCTTCATCGGAAAAGGCATGACCGAGAAGAAACAGAGAAAAATCTCGTCTCCTTAAAGAGATTTCCAGAACACAAAAGACAAAAATAGAACAGTACAGATTTGCTCCGGACTAAAATTTCTACCTACGCCTCCTGAAACTCTGCACTGTGCAGCTCGATTTACAGAGACTGATGACTAACAATTACTGACATTGAAATTCACGGACTCACAAGAGGAAAAAATTAGAGAAATGAACTCCAGAAAGTTGCATGTACATTCACAATTTCCCAACTCCAAAACTTCAAACTAAAAAACGAAGTACAAGACAGCTCCGGAATCAATGTTGCCCTTCCACCACTAATCCAATTAAGTGACTCGATACTCAGATTATCCGTGCAGCGATCGAAAAGACGAAACGAAAAAACGACCGCAAGAACATATACACAGATCGGAAGAGAAGATACCTGCGGAAAAATACTGGAGCAAGAAGCAAGTATACAGAATAGGGAAATAAGAGAAAGAAAGGGGGTTTTATCTCAGAGACTTTTCGTGGAAAACATGACGACGATGATCGGAGAAGGAAACAGCAAGTCTGGATCTGAAAGGGAGGGAAATCGGAAAATACATCTTCCGCCGGGAAGGTCGCCGGAGAAGATGAGAATTGAGAGAGTGGTTTTGTTCAGTGGTTGTCCTGAATGGGGCGAGTGTTATGGAGTGGGAGAGAACCGGGCCGGGGAATTTATAAGGAAATAGAAGAAGATGGGTTGCTGAGTGGACATGATATTTGCCACGTGGAGTCCTACATGGCAGTAATTATCCTGAATTGGCAGTTTGCTCGCGTGACAATTATTGCACGTAGTTTTGGTCCATGTAGATGGGCCAGATAGTGCGACGTGTCGCGTGGTTGAAACGGTGGGTAGTTTTTTTTACCCCTTTTTAAAATAATTAATTTAGCCGAGGTGAAAACCATGTGAAATTCCAAAAACACCCCTCCACTAGTATAGAATATCGGGTAGATACCCCTCGTTTTCCGTGGATATCGAAAACCATCGAAAGCGATCGTGGCAAATCACAATTTACCTCAAAAATGTTTTTATTTATTTATTTATATATATATTTTTTTCTTTTATGGATATGCGAACGGGNAAAATTTTACGGTGTTAGCAAAAAAAAAAAAAAAAAAAACTCTCGAAAATAAAATAAATAAATATTTAAATTATTTTTTATTTTTTATTTCTTAGGAAGACGTTGAAAAAGCAACTTTTTATAGAGATCTTCATTATTTATTTAATTA